CGGGCTCCGCTGCCGACCCTGGACCCGCTCCCATCGACGTCACCCGGGGCTGCAGGAAGCCTGAGGACACCATCTTCCACCTCTGGACACCAACGACCACACTCTGGACCTGGTTCATGCCAAACCTGGATGTGCATTTGGTCCTTAGGGACATTTGTGGGTCAGACCCCCATGACCACTACAAAATCGGCCACCGGGTACCATCAGACTCCAGAATCACTCACCAAAGCCACTTGTGAAACATTCACTGGGGCCACCACAACCACCTCTAGCTGGAGCTGCAGCTTTCGCATGCACCAGCTGTGTTAATTTAAAGATGAATAAAAAAGAAGAAAAGAAGAAAACCCTGCCCCCTAAATCAGAAGCTAATTAAATGCACTCCTATGGCTAACAGTAAGTGTTTCTGAGTCGCTCTGACTACTGCAAAATGCAAGGACTTCACTCGTTTGGTTTCAGATACCACCTCTGGGTCCCGGCATCTCCACGAACACGGCTCTGCCTCGACACAGCGGCTGCAAACTCTGCCCAAACTTCCCAGGAAGGACAAAAATAAACGGTAGCGAGAAGCTGTCCGTGTTTGGCGAGCCCTCAGAAACACCCCTGGCGATACACGAGCAAAGGGCCAACCCCGCCGTGGGCTTCCTTGGAGATTTCTGTGCCTGAGGTTGAACATTTCGCACCAGGCTGTTTTTACAGGGCTGTTGAGCAGAGCCGAGGAGCGAAGGAGCCGAGTTATCCGTCTCTCCTCCGGTTTTATTCCTGGCAAGGACAATTTGCAGCAGTGTTGCTCGGCACGTCGAGTCTGGCACCTGCTCACAATAAATCCCTAACGATGCTGAAAAGCTAAACGTCCATTTAGTTTAATTTCTGTTTTAGCTTCGGGTTTCTACGTACCGTAAATGCTAGAAAGAATGTTTTTTTAAAAACAACGCTGCATATTTACCTTGGAGATGCTCTCTAGTTGGCTGCCCTTCCTCTACCATTTCGCCCTGCGTGCAGGGAGATGCACTGAGTGCACCGAGGCCAACGGGGAGACCTTTGTGCCAACCGCGATCCCTGCGGAAGGTCCTTTGCACGTGGGATGGGTCCGTGTGCTCCCTGGGCCTCGGAAACCCCAAGGGTCCGAATCCCAGCAGGCACTGAAGGAAGAAAGGAGCCTCCTGGGCTGATGTTAACCGTGCGGACCACGCTGGGAGCCTCGTGTGACACCGACATCTCCGTGTGACGCGCGGCTCGGAAAGGCCCTTGCAGCCGAGGAAGAGCCTGGTCCCAAAGCTTCCCCCCTCACGGCCATCTCTTCACGCTGCAAACATCTTCTCCCAGGAGCCTGGGCTTTCAAGCAGCAATTAAGAGGTCAGAAGAGCCCAGTGCAAGGTCTCAACGCTGGGAGAAGGGATCCAAGAGGAATTGCAGGATCCTGCAGGACGTTTTCCCGCTGCTCACCTTTGATCCTGGCAAACATGCTCTGGGCGCTGCGAGTCCATTGGGAATCTCTCTGTGTGCAGATGTCCTGCAAAAACTGCCCCCTCAGCTGCAAATCAGCGAGCCCTCCCCAATCTGCTCATTAGCAACCACGAATAACGATTCGCCTAACGGGAACCGGCCAGCATTCAACACACTCCTTGTTTTTTCATTTTATTAAAGCAAAGTCTATTTATATCGAGTGACTTGCAAGAAGTAAGACCCTTGGGCTTGCAGGGGAATTATTAAAGATGAAAAAGCAGCCAAAGGCGGAGATTTCTGGAAGCTCAGGTTAGGGGCTCCCGTGTCAGCACAGGCAGAGCCCAAAGTGCTCTCCAAAACCGCAGCCCTAGGATCCCGCACGGTGGGGCCGTTCCAGGGCTCCCGTGCCCGTTTAGGGATTTGCTGCGCTCTCCTATTGCTGCAATACCACCGGGACACAAGCTGGGAGAGACAAAGGGCACCACGGCACGAACCCCCACGTGAAAGAGGCAAGAAGAGTA